TCAGCACAGCGTTCCTGCAGATCCTGAAAAACCCTTAAAAAGCATCTAATTCCTCGATATTAAACTAAGGCCTTAATTGGTATTAAAATGTCTTAAATCAATCTTATATTGTTACCACATCATAAATTGGATTTTATTATATAATCCACATCAAACATTGAAATATTAATACCTTAGTTTATGTTTACCGATCGACTCGCTGGAACCATTACTGGTTCCGTCCCGATAAAAGAAACCAATAAAAATGATGTTAAAAATAATGCCCATCGCCCTAAAGTCTCACACATTGTTGAGAAAACGGATTAAAATATAAATGAAAGGAGAACTTTTTAACATATTCTTAATGTTTTCATGTTTCTTATACATGGAAGCCCTAAAATTGAGAAATGAAAATTAGTTAAAATTGTTGATTTAAGTTTGAAACAAAACTAAAGTTGGTAAATTCAGTTCAGTAGTTGTTGGAAATATTTCTGTGCCTTAAAGCAACGGTTTATGCTAAAATAAATATTTCACTACCAGGTTTTTCTCATCTTTGTTGTGAAGTTGGATTTAACTTGTTATTTCAAATGGCTTAAAGTCTTAAATTGAACTTTCCTCATACTGTAGGACCCCTGCAGCGTCGTCTCCTCCATGCCTGATAGAAAAAGTTTGTTTTAAAGTAGTGAGATTTGCTCTTGGAAGCTGTTTGGACTGAATTTGATTAAAATAAAATAAATATTTTGATGGAGATGAGAAATCTGCTTCCTGGTGTGTTGAAGTACCAATAGTTTGCATCCTTTAATTTAATAGACTTAGACAGACTTTAATGTCGTTTTGTACACAGAGTGTATGCAAAACAAAATTGTTTTTTGTGCAGCTCTCATGACATTTCCGTTTGTTAAAGTGCAGCAGTGATCAAATAGTGATCAAATGCTCGTATTAGTAGTTACTGATCTGTCGTCACCATATTTTTATTAGATAAACCGGATCTTCTCAGCGTTCTGTTTCCTGTTTGGTGCGATTTGAAATCGTTGATCTTGACTTGAGTTCTGGTTAATTAACCCGCCTGCGCCGGTGTTCAGCGGGACGTATGCAGCGCGGCGGGACGGAGGATGTTTCTCAGGCTTTTTATTCCTACCTTCATCCTGTGCATGGAAGTAGGAATATTCTACCTGTTTTCTGTGTCTCACCTGTTTCTCCTCCAGTAACCTGTTAGTAATGCATGTTTTCATCGGGTGCAGCTGAAACCTTAATGACCCTAAAACTGAACTCCATTCATGACTGAACCGTCTCTGTTTCTGTCTCTTAATCCAGCAGCTGTTCATGTTTTTATAGGTTAACTTTATGTTTCCATTAATTTCTGTACATCTGAGCCACCATTTACTGATGTGATTATGGGAGGGGGGGGAAATGATAATGCTAATTTAAATGTCTAAATATCATGTCATTTCTTGCTGTCTTATTCAGTTTTATTCATATAAAATGATTGTGAATTTAAAGGTAAAGATTTAACAAAGAACCTCAATGTTTTAATTGAAAGAGTCCTTTGCTGACTGCCTGCCCCTATTGCTGGCCATGGTGTCCCCCCTTTCCAAGAGTGTGGTTTGACCATTCTGGGCCCCTGGGCAGACCAAAAAAGGGAGCCATTGTGAATGAAGACCGCTTTTCCCATTAGGCCCAGGCCGGGTGGTGAGGATGCCATGGGGTTAGGAGCAGATGTGGGTTCAGCTCTAATAGGTGCCTAAAAAAAACAACATGTTTTCTAACAGTCAATGTTGTTAGATAGGTTAGCTTAGCCACATGCTTTAGCTCAGCATCCTCCTGCTGTTATGATTTTAACTTTAATTCTTCTGATTAAATCAGGCCAACCTGTTCAAAGTTTAAACTGTGCAGTTCTTCTGTTTAAAGTTCAGATTTTAGAGGAGATTTAGGGACTTTTAGGATTGATATCTTGTGTTTTTAAGTCTTTTTCTCCTTTTGCTTTTCCCCTATGTTTCTTTTTCCCAACTGATTATTGAGATTTTACTGTAGGCTGTAGCTTTGAGCGTAGAATGATTGTTTCCTGTCTGTTTCTTTCTTCTTCTCACTTCTCTCTCTGTTTGCTTGTTACCTTGAAAGGTGGATATGGGCGCTGGGGAGGAAGGGACAGGTACGGTCCACCTGTCCGGACCGATTACCGGCTCATTGTTGAGAATCTTTCCAGCCGCTGCAGCTGGCAGGACTTAAAGGTGGGGAATGATTTGGCGTGGCTGGATTCACCCAGGGATCCCTGCAGGCGTCATTATCTGCGTTTTATGCTCCTCAGGACTACATGAGGCAGGCGGGGGAGGTGACGTACGCCGACACCCACAAGGGCCGCAAGAATGAGGGCGTGATCGAGTTCAGGCAGTACTCCGACATGAAGAGGGCTCTGGAGAAGCTCGACGGCACAGAGGTGAACGGCAGGAAGATCCGCCTCATCGAGGATCGTCCCGGCGCCAGGCGCCGCCGCTCCTATTCCCGCAGCCGCTCCAGGTAGGAGACCGCCCTCCGTTGGCGTTTCAGGCGAAGAACCGAGCGAGCTTTGGTGAAACTCCGCCCCTCTTCCCGCAGGTCTCGCTCCAGGAGCCGCAGGTCTCACAAGAGCCGCAGCCGCAGCGAGAGCAGCAGCCGCAGCCGATCCCGCTCCAGGTGAGCCCGCCTCTTCCCTGCTTTCACCTGCTAGCTTCCCGCTCAAGCTACCGTCACAGTTTCCAACCACCGTTCTTATTCCAGAGAAAGAATTTATAATCTAGAGCTGCAATGATTCACAAGAACAAGACTTATTTAAATTAATACTGGAGGGCAGAAATAATTCATCGTCTCCAAACTCAGCAGGGATGTTTAGGAAAGTTTGAACAATCGATACCGCAGGTTAATGTCTGACGCTCATTATGATCAGAATCCATATAAACACGCTGAGTAACATTTGCTCAAACTGTCGCTTTGCTTTAGCTCTAAGGAATAAAACAGACAAATATTATAAAATGCACATAAATAAATACTTAAAAATAAAAGTAATTAAAAAATAAAGTTGAAGATTATAAAGGACAAAAATAAATAAGGTAAATATTTCAAAGGCAAATAAAGAAGCTAATTAAGAGTTATATACATTTATGTCTCACTGTATAATTTAATTTCTACTTACATTTATTTGTTTATTGTATGATTATTTATTGAGCATTTATTTATTTCCGTATTTATTTTTAAATATGACAGAGTTGGTCCTCCATATTCACTGAGGGACGGGGGGGTCAAAAAGGCCAACTTTCTCTATAAAGGATTAAAACTGAGTGAAGATGGGCTCCCTCTGCACACTCTGGCAGGTGGCGCTGTGGAGCCCATCAGCTGTGCGGCGCAGCAGCGTATCTGTAGTTGAGGCGTTCAGAGTGGAAGACGGGGATTGACTGAACGATCAATATCACCCGATGAACATCTAGAGGTTGCTTTTTATCCATGCATTTAATTTCGATAGCAGGACAAATATGGCAATATATAGTAATATTGTTATAAAGTAATAATATCGTATCGCAAAACCCATGCCGCTACTCCGCCCGAATCCCCGACATTAATACTATAAATCATTTCTAAAGTCTGTTTCGCGGTTATATTTCTCCTGAAAGACATTTCTCTGTATTAGCCAAAGAGTTCTAGATAAAATGTTGGTTGCTAGGCAACGGTACCCAATGTCAATCAACCACGTTAAGTATTTAAAGTTCAGCTAATAGAGCCGTAAAATGACATCTGGGGGAGATATTTATTTATTTTGTTAAAAAACGACGTTAAAATGAAGGAAACAGAAACAGGATGTGATTAATTTAAAGTTCTTTCCCTTTAAAAGCTCAGAACCATGAAAATGGCGACTTTGAAATAGACTGACATCTTTTTTTTTTCCTCTGCTCAGAGCTGCTTCACGATCCCGCAGCCGATCTCGCAGCAAGAAGAACAAGAGCAAGAACAAGAAAGACGAGGAAGAGCGCAGCAACGGCGCTCAGAAGGACGACGACCGCAGTCGCAGCCGGAGTCGCAGCCGCAGTCGCAGCCGCAGCCCCAAGAGCAAAAAGAGTAAGAAGGAGGGGAAGTCTGCCAAGAAGGAGGATTCCAGGTCCAGGTCCCGCTCCAGGTCCCGCTCCAGATCCCGATCCAGATCCAGCCCTAAAGATCGCCCCAGAAAGTCCACCTCACCAGACCGCGAGCCGCCCAAGAGCGACAACGAGGCGGGCGACGCCGAGAGGGCATCCCGCTCCCGTTCCCGCTCTCCGGACGAGCCCAGACCCAGGTCCAAGTCCAAATCGCCGTCTGCGTCTCCGGCCAAAGCCGGCTCCCGTTCCCGCTCTCGTTCCCGCTCCGAGTCCCGCTCCAAGTCCCGTTCCCGCTCTCGTTCCCGCTCCCGCTCCTAGTTCAGATCCTGGACTGTGCATCACGATCCCCCCCGCCCCCATTTACATTCCCGCTCCCCTCCGACGCCCGACCGGGTTTTTGATAAGTACCTGTAGAGCAGCCGGCTCCTTCAGCACACGCCCCCTTCATTTAACTCTGACCCCGCCTCTTTTCCAGTAGATGTTTGTGAAATGCAGAGGGGATCTGGTTTTTATAAGTTCTGATGATGGTCTGTGTTTCTGTGTTCTTTTTTTTTTTTTTTATCTGATGTAGAAGCCAAGCCGCTGGCTGGGAATGAGATTCCTGGTCCGTTCAATCCTTGTTGAATTTCGGTTCAGAATAAAGTGTCTGTTTTCAACCAGTTGCTTCTGATTGGTCCGTTTCTACGCAGCAGGATGCGATCCGGTCCAGGAGTTCACATCAGACGATCTGCAGAACCTGCATAAACGCTCAGACTGAAGCCAAAGGATTACATTTTGTCTGGAGTCAACAGAACCTACTAACGCTGCGCTCCCCCTGCAGGCCTTGATGCTCAGTTCAGATTTTACTTTTTAAAATTTCCAAATATATGTGACTTTATGTGATCTCCTGTGTGAGCTGCATTCATACCAGGCAAGTGTCCCGCATGTGCAGTAGAGGACGCCATGATGTCACAGGTAGCCATCGAGCTTTGTGTTTACAGAAGTAAACATGGATGGTGGCGCTGGAGAGCATCTAGCGATCTTTATCAATCTTAAGAACTCGACCTTTTCAAGATGGTTAAACATAAATACTGCTCCCTGCATCATCGCCTCCCATGGTTGGTGTTTTTCTTCCATCTTCTGTGTAGCAGGATGCAGAATAGTCACCTTTCTAGGGGGTCCTGCTCCAGGTCTCCATCCAGATCCAGTCCTAATTATCGTCCCAGAAAGTCCAGCTCACAGGACGGCATGCTGAACCAGCAGCGCTTTCAGTCTGGATCGACGCGGGTTGGAACAGGTTAGCATGAAAAGTTTCCACACTGATCCAGCAGACTTTGGTTACGTTCACACTGCAGCCTGAAGTGACCCAAATCAGATTATTACGAGATATTATCTCGTAATTATGAGAAAAGGTCTCGTAATTACGAGATAAGCTGTCAGATTTTTTTTTTCCTTTGGCGAATGCAATACGCTTCTGTACAAATGTGACCTGGATCTGATCTTTTCATAACAGTCTAAAAAACTCTTATCCAAATTTTTTTCCCAATGCGACCCAGGCCGCTTTGCTCTGTGGTCCTGAATCCGATACGAATCTAAATGCGAGTTTGTGTGTTTGAACGGCCAGGTCGCATTCATCCGACCTTTATCCCATTAATACTTAAAGGTCACTATTTTTTTTTGTTTTAAGGTTGGCAAACCTTAGTTGCGCTCCAGCACTACCATCCATGTTTACTTCTGTAAACACATCATGCTGGCTACCTGTGACATCATGGCGTCCTCTACTGCGCATGCGGGACAGTTAATGCTGTATGACTGCAGATCACACAGGAGATCAGCAACACAAAATCTGATTTCCCCAAAACAATTAGGGTGGAGCATCAGGGCTGGCAGTGTGAACGCAGATCAACGCTTGACTCTGAAAAAAACTCCAGTTTCCTCCAATCGAATCCCGTGGCTTCAGTCTGAATGTTTATGTAGTGAATTTTGCTAGAATGTTTAGTAAATTGAGGTTTCTGGGAAAAAATGTGATACAGAAATAAAGACTTGAAAAACTTCTTACATTTTGGGAGAAAACTTCTGAATTAATTTCCCATCACATTCAATTCTATTCAGTTTATTTCTATAGCTCCAATTCACATCATGTCATCTCAGGTCACTTTCCAGTTCACCAGATCATCCAATCAGATTGATTCAAAGTTTTCTATCTAAGGAAAACCAGCTGATTGCATCGACTCATTGACTCTTCAGCAATCCCTCACACTAAGCATGCTTGTAGCGACAGTGGAGAGGAAAAACTCCCTTTGAACAGGAAGAAACCTCCAGCAGAACCAGGCTCAGTGTGAGCGGCCATCTGCTGAGGCCCACTGGGGTTCAAGGAGACAGAAGCAGACATAGAAAAAGAAGCATAGATACAAAAGGCAACTGTCAACCAGCTCCACAGGCGGCCCCGTCCAGGAAACACACAGCCAGGCAGACGAGCTCCGAGCCAGCTCCCATGTCAGAGGATGAATCGAGCACATCCAGTTAGTCACAGTCAGAGAAACAGGACTACACTGGAAAACAGGCCAAGCTCCAGCATTCCCTTCACCAAGACGGCGCATTTCTGTAGGACACATTTTTAATGGGCTTGAAGTGAAGAGGATGTGATTTAAAAATAAGAAAATGGGTAAAACTCAATAAGAAAAAGTTAATTTTGGGGGGAAAATTTCTTTTTTTAAAGTTGTTTTCCAGGGTTTAATTTTAGCTTTAATTAAAAAAAAATGTATATTAAAACACTTTACAGTATTTTGCTGTTTATCTTTTAACTCTTCATTTTTATGTTATTCTTATACATTTTTCTATAAACTTTGCTGCTGAAAACAGCAGAATTTTCCTGGATCAGAACCAAACATGAAGAAGCAGCTTCTAGTTCCTCTGCTTCAATAATCTGGAATAAAATCCCAGAAAACTGGAGAAGAGCTGAAGGCCTCAGCTGGATTAAATCCAGATTAGAAACCTCTCAGATTAATGTTGCCTTTGACTGAGATCCAGAAATTATTAAAGTTTTCAATCCAACTTTCTTCTACTTAAAAATCATTTTATTCTTTTCTTTACTCCTGTTTTCATGTCATTTTCAGCACTTTGATTCGTCTCACTAATAAATGAAATAAACTGTCCTCCCAGCGTTTCATCTCGCTCCCTTTGGAGAAATCACAGGGTTACCATGGTAACACGCATGCTGATAAACTCAGTTTCCCTAAAGGTTCAGCAGAGCCAGTCCTTTATGCACAGGTTCTGTTCTGGACCTGTTCATGTGAAACAGGAGGAGCTGTCGACCAATCAGAAGGAAGCAGGAAGCTTCACAGCATGGCGGCATGAAGGCACCCCGCCCCTCTATGAAAGCTGCAGAGAACCCAACCGCTTTTACAGTCTGAACAAACTGCACCAAAAAAAAACATAATTATTCACACATGAAGTGAAATAAACCATAAATTGTCACAATTACACCTAAAAACATTATTTTTAAGCAAAGACACTGGAGGCAATCCTTTATTAGTTTATTTGCAAGTGAACAAAAGAAAAAACGAGATTGAACCGTTTGAAAGAAGAAAAGTAAACAGAAAAAATACAGAAACAAAATGAAAATGAAAGCATTCTAAAAATAAAACTAATATTTTCCTCCCATTTCTTAATGTAGACGAATCGTCAAACATCTGGAATCGGTTCTGATTGAAAACCGATCGTCTCAATGAGACCAGAACAGAAGTTAAACTGTTCTCTCTGTAATATTTCAAACTTGAATCTTTCCTTTAAAATCTAATTCAGTCTATTTTAAATTGGTTGCATTGACATCAGAAATGATGCGTTGAAATTGGATTATTTCTCCTCAATGTGGAGTTTAATCTACAGAAGATCATTAAAAAGTCATTTAATAGATGAAATAAGTGATTAATTAAAGTGTTTCTGAGCTCAGGACTAGAAGCACCTCTGCTTTGGATGTTTCATCATATTCTACATCTCAGATTATGTTTATTTGTGGATTAACTCTTATAGAACCGCCAATCTTTGAAAAACTATTTTACTTATTTTATGAGGAGGATTATGGATGAAGAAGCATTTTAGGGAACAACAAGGAACCGTAAGGTCGGACACAGAATGCGTTTGAACTTATCATTTTCTTATTTTATATAATAAACTGATCTGAAAGCTGATTGGCTGCTGCTCTGCTCCTCTGGGTCTGCCCAGCCTCTGATTGGACGGCTGAAACTGTCGCCGTCCAATCAGAAAAGCGCATGGATCTTCAGAGACAAAGGTTTCCCCGTTTCTCTGCTTTAATCTGAACCTTCCCTGTGAATTTATTTCACAGGAAGTGACATCATGGCTGTAAAGTTCAGTCTGAGGCAGATGAAGACCCAGATCCGGTTCTGGGTCGATCCGGCTCCTGTAGAACAGCAGCTCTCTGATGTCCCCACGCCGCGGCGTGGCGGTCCTCGCCTCCTCAACCCTCTGATCCTCCCTGATCACAGAACCCCCCCTCAGTCATCATCCTCTTCCTCAGAGGAAGACCGCATGGCGCCGCTGCTGTCGTCACGGTAACAGCGAGCCAGCAGCCGCAGGTCCTCCAGGGCCTCCTGGTAGTCAGCCATCTCAGGCCCCTGGGACAGGAAGCTGGGGGCCAGTCGGCGGATGTCGAAGGCGCTGGCGGAGCGGTGCAGCTCAGCGAGCCAGGGATGAAGGGCGGGTCCGGACTGCAGCGACGTCAGGACAGGAACCGAGGAGACGGGCGGACTCGGCGCTGCAGAGACGACTCGGTTACAGAAGGAAGGAGGGAAGGAAGGAAGGAGGGAAGGAAGGAAGGAGGGAGAAACACTCACCGCCAGGAGGGGGCGCCAGGCTCCTCAGGAAGCCCTGAGCGTCCAGCGACGGGCTGAAGATCTGCGGGAAGGGAGGGGTCAGCTTACTGGGGGAGGAGACCAGCTGCAGGGCCCTGTGGGGGGGGGATGAAGACTGATGAAGACTATGGTTCA